GAACAGCTGCAGATTCTCAAGAGCAAACTGGATACCAGGGAAAAATCAAGAAATACTTTTAGTTTTTTGGAAAAATTTTTTTCAGTATATAATTCTAAACATGGCCAAAATATCAATTAAATATGAGGGCACAATGAAAGGACTCTCACTGCCCTCTTTCTTCATTGGTTTCCTCCAATGTCTAAATAAGCATTCATGTGCAAGAAGCTGTGAAAGTTTTTTTGGTATTTTTTTTTTTTGAGACAGGGTCTCTCTCTGTAGTTCAGGTTGGCCTTGAACTCACTATGTAGCCCAGGCTGGCCTCAAACTCAGCAATCCTCCTGCCCCAGCCTCCTGAGATTATAGGCATGTACCACCACACCCAGCTGTGAGAATTTTATAAAAGCAAAGAAGATCACTCTCACCATCTCTATTGAACATCATACTGGAATTCCCAGCCAATGAAATAAAACAATAAAAAGAAACAAAAGATATACAAATTATCAATATTCCCAGATAACATAATTATCTATGTACAAATTTCTAAGGAATTTGTAAAAATGCTCCTAAAACTATGAGGTGTGTTTAGCAAGATAGCAGGATACTAGCATTGAGCAATTAAAACAAAAATATAAAAAAAAATTTAATAAGCTTTTAAAAATGGTATACCGTTAGCAAAATATGTACAGTCTCTATATGTTGAAAACTATAAAATGTTTATCAGAGAAGAAAATATAGCCTAAATAAATGGAAGACATACCATGTTCATGGACCTGAAGATTCACTATTGTTCTGATGTTATTTATTCCCTAATTAATGTACAGACCACAGCTTTCAGTCAAAACCACAGAAGGTTTTCTGGTAATATTGGCAAGATGATTCTGAAATGTATGTTGGAAGACAAAAGAACCAGAAAAACAAAACGATTTTGAAAAGAATAAAGTTGGAAGAATGACTTATTTTAAGGGTTAATGATAAGGCCCGGGTAAGAAAGGCAATGTGATATTGGTGAATGGATAAACACATAAAACAGTGGAATAGGATAGAAAGTCTAGAATAGACCTACATAAATATGGCAAATTGACTCTTTTTAAAGTTACAAAGAGAAGAGGTTTATTCAGGTTCACGGTTCTAACCTAAGTTTGAAGTTATGGTGGGTCCACGGCCATACCACCCTGAATGTGCCCGATCTTGTCTGAAGTTGTGATGGCCTTCTTGCTGCAGGGTAGCACAAGGTGACATAACAGAAGTGTTTCAGTTGACCTTGACAGGGGTATGAATGCAATTCAATGGAAAAAGAATCATTTTTGAACAAAAGGTATTGAAATAATTGGGCACCCATGTATAGATGAACTTTGACTTAAACTTAACACCTTATACAAAAATCTATTCAAGATTAACTATAAATCTAAATATAAAACTTTTAGATGAAAACAAAGAAAAAAATTTCTGACCTGAGGTTAAGCAAAGAGTTTTTAGGTATGACACCAAAGTCATGATCCATAAAAGAGAAAATTGACAAACTAAATCTTATAAAAATTTGAGACTTCATCTCTGACAGACACTGTTAAAATGAAAAAAAAACCAATCTCAGATTGGGAAATAAAACTGTGAATCACATCCAACACAGCATTCATACGCATAAGTGTAAGTAACATTCAAAACTCAACAAAGAAGAGAATCCAACTTTAAAATGGTCAGAAGACTTAAGCATTTCACCAAAGAGTGTATACAGATAGACAATCAACATCTAAAAAGATTCTCATCATCACTGATCACTAAGCAAATTAAATTAAATTACAATGAAACATTACTATATACCAATAGAAAAGCTAAAATTAAAAAAGAATTAAAAAGAAAAACATAAAAAAAGAAAGAAAAATACACACTACCAAGTAATGTGGAGCAACTAGAACTCTTAGGCCAAACCAAAGAGGGAGATCTGTTTACCCTAGTGCAGGCCATCAAGGATGCATTACTGTGGATAGCTGCAAAACAAAGGAAAAAAAAAAACTAACTAAAAATCAGACATTTTTTATTGTCATCGTGTACTTGCAATTCTAAATAATGTCAATGATAAGATGTTCTTTCCCATCACACACAAATTCAGCTACATGCAATTGTTTTGAAAGTAAATTTTAATGGTGCAGAATCATTGTACAAGTTCATTTTAGATACAGTTTGTGTCTTTGATCTATGGTACCACATAGCTCTGCTTTCAAAAAATGTATTAAATATAAACAGCCTGCAATCCCAGCATTCAAGAGGCTGAGGCAGGAGGATTGCTGTGAGTTCAAGGCCAGCCTGGGCTACATAGTGAATTTAAAACCAGCCTGAACTACATGGTGAGACCCTGTCTCAAAAAAAAAAAGTACAAGCACAATACTTATAAAGAAACAGAACTTGTGTTACTTCAATTCTATCATTCTGGATAAATCAACCTGAGTTTTTATTTTTGTTTAACATATAGTAAAATAGGCTCCCTGAGGGTGGGCCCCTAG